CAAAATCTTGCCCCTGTTTGTCCCAGCTATAGTAGCTGGTCCAATAGGAGATGTATTGTCCTGAAACCATTTCAGCTCCAAAAAGAGCAGCACATGAAACCAAATAATCTCATGATGGATCTGGCACTGAGGCTTAAGAAGCACCAGTTTCTTCACAGAAACACACTAGAGATAAAAAGGCCTTTTTTGATAATCTGGCTTCTCTCCTGGGCTCTGAGTATCTACTGGTAAATAATGTATGGTAAACATTCTGTTCTAAAGAGCTCAAAGCACGTGAACAATGAAACAAAAAGCTGATATTGAGCAACAATAAAAGCCTGGGGTTCCCTTTCCATGCCTGAAATCCAGCCTGAAGGCAGCAGCTCCCACAAGAAGGGGAGTCAGTGCTGCAGACAAGAAGCTCCTCTACACATTTCCTTTCATCTTTCTTCCAGTTTTGTAGTGCCAACCTCACTTCTGTTGTGAACTGCTAAAAACAGGAAGCATTCAGCCCCTGTTTTCTCATCCTACTCCAAAGAATGTTTAAGGTAAAAGGCAAACAAAAACATCTCCTCTCAGTTATCTTCTGGAAGATCTTCCCAGCCTTCCCTGCTCTTGGAAGTGAGAGTAGCTGTAAAAAGATGGGGGCTGCTCCACCTGCTAAACCATGAGAGATGAGACAGAAATAACAGTTCTACACAGTTGCTCAGTTCTTTAACTGATTTGCTCAGGCCTGGGGTAGAACATAAGAAGTAATTTATTTCATTATTCTTTATAAGCCAGTCAACAACTACATGAAAATAAACGATCCTGAACCCTTTATGTTCAATCTAGCTAAAACTGAGGCTCCACAACAAAAATAATTTTCTATTCAGCTGCTCAAATGTGTTAGAAAACCCATCAAAAGCATTCTCCCAGTTTGCTTTTGCAAAGTACAAACTTTGTGTATATTAATTTGAAATATCCAGTCTAGCCACTCTCCAGCCTCCTATCCCTAATGCTGACTTTGATTTATGCCATCATTTAGAATATTTACTGTATTCATTCTCATCAAAGGATTCATGAAACTCTTTTTTTCCTCCTTTGAAGTCAGCAAACACCTCAACATTTTAGAGCTCCCTCTGCCAATAAATCTTCAAGTGTCTTTACAGTTTGGAGCTGAGAAAGACTTAAAGGGACAGAGTTTTTAAAAAAAAGGAGAATAATAGTTGGTTACAAAAAAGAGTATTTCCAAGCACAGTTTAGCTTGCTGAAAAACAGTGTCATAGTGGAGTGCTTTAACACTCTATTTTATTTTTTTATTTGCTACAAAAGCAAGAAAGTCAGGACAATTCAGGGATCCAACTCAAAAACTGCCTTTCCAAAATGGCAAAAAATTAGAAAGAGTGGATGAGACCTGTGGCACTGTTACATCTATATCAAAAGGCCATTCAAAAGAAAAAATTTGATACTTTGATCAGAAATCAGAAAAAAAACCCCAAACCTCATGGAATAGAATTACATTTTATCTGTGCTATCTTACTTTAATAAAACCTTTGAGGTTGAAGGCTTTGCAATGGAGGATTTCTGTAAGGATAAAGAGGAAGGTAAGCACGGTGCTATCAGAGTAAATTGGGAATCAATACCAAAGCAGGTAATTAATCAATTAA